GGTTTTTTTCTCTGTTGAAAATCTTGGTTTGGGGTTTTTTGGCGTTTTTTTGGTGGGTTTTTTTGTTTTGGTTTGGTTTTTTTTTTGTTTTTGGTGTTTTTTGTTTGGTCTGACTGTAATTTAGATTCAAGGCTCTGGTCTAATATTTGAGATAGTTATTAAGTTATTACACTTCTTCTGGGCTTCTGCAAGTTCCTGTGTAACACTCCTGCTCTCCTGTGCAATTCCCCACTTATTTTTAGGTCTGTCCTTTCTATTTACTGACACAGAATATGGAGACAACTTAATCACCACCAATTTGCTGGGAAAGAGAAACTTTTGTGCCTCTTGTTCTGCATTTGGAATTTATTTTTTATTGCCATAAGACCAGAGAGCCCTGATGTCAGGGAGTTTTTATGATAAACTGATGTCACCTTTGAGATGCTGGGCAGAGCCAAGCCTGTCACAATTCCCAGTGCAAATGCTGAATTTGTTTTAATCACTGTTTCCTGTGAAATGTGTTTGTTTCCTAGACAATGCCAGACAGACCTCCCGTGTGTGACCCTGCCATTGTCACCTGTTCCTCAGCACCTGCCCTCCCTGCATTCTCCAGTTGTGATGGGAAAGCTCCAGCCCAGCCTCCACTCCAAGCACAGACCGGAGCCAAGGCAGCTCCTGCCACCTCTGAGGCTTCTTCTGCAGCTGGGAAAGCACAGCCCAGAGCTCCAGAGGGATCCCATTCCAATAAAATCTCACCATCCTGCCCATCAGGCATTTCTGGAAGTACCTCCCAGCCCAACCAGACCCACCAGGATCCCTCAGCTCGGCAGCCAAGGCCTTCTGGAATTGCAAACAACAAAAAGCTTCCAAAAAAAATGGAAAATGTTTTAGCCCAGCTCCAGAGTATATTCCCAAGCCACAGCAGGTACTGGATGGAAGGAGTGCTGTGAAACAAGGACTGAACAGCCAGGGATGAAGGGCACAAAGGAATGATTTTGTTCTGCTGACCAGGGATGGAGGAAAAGGGGGAAGGGGTTTAAACTGCGAGAGGGCAGGGCTGGGTGGGATCTTGGGAATGAGGAATTGTTCCCTGGCAGGGTGGGCAGGGCTGGGATGGAATTGCCAGAGCAGCTGGGGCTGCCCCTGGATCCCTGGCAGTGCCCAAGGCCAGGTTGGCACAGTGGAAAGTGTCCCTGCCATGGCAGGGGTGGGGTGGGGATGGGATGGGATTGGATTTCAGGTCTCTCCCAAGCCATTCCATGATTCTGGTTTGGGGGTTTCATCCTGGATACTGAGAGTCACTGGGAGCAGGCTCCAGTTCCTGGGAAAAGCTGCTGGGATCAAACAGGGAACTGCTGCAATGCTCTCCAGGCCCATCCCTGACCCTGCCTTTCCTGTCCCTGCAGCTCAGACCTCGTTGCCTCCATCAGGGACGTGCAGAGGAGAAACGGGAACAGCCTGAGCCCTGACAAGATCCTCAGCCAGGCCACCGAGCTCCTCCTGGACCAGCAGCTCAAGGTACCGGGGCTGCAGCTGCTCCTCTTCCTCCCGTGGCAGCTGGAGCAGCACAGCCCCAACACACAGCTCCTTTCTGCTCCCTGTGCAGGCAGCAGCTCCCGCAGGCAGAGCCCTGCACTCCCCGGTGCGGGGCAGGGAAGTGCCCACGGAAGGAATCAGCCCCAAAACCTCCTCCAGTAAAAACCCCTCCCAGCCAAACCTGCAGCCCTGGGGAAATGCTGGAGCTATGCCTAAAGCCAGATGGAGGAAGCAGGACAGTGCTGTAAGTTTGCTGTTTCGGTGGAGTTGTTGCCTTGTGGTCTGTACAAGACATGAAATAATCCTGGGAAAAAAAATTGCCTCGTTTATTTTGTATACAAAAGATTTGGTTGAAGTTAGTGACTTTGTTAATTGAGTGGAATGTGCTGGTTAATTGCTGATTTTTAAATATCGGAGCATTCCTCTCCTGGGCAGGCCTGCAGTGAGGATCCCTGCAGCATCTGTCACGATGAGCTGAGCAGAGACTGCTGTGAGCTCGAGTGTGGCCATCGCTTCCACAGAGAGGTGAGTTCTGCTCCTCATCTCCACCTCAAAAACAACCCCGTTACCCTCCCCTTCCCCTTAGTGCTTAAACAACAGGGCACAATTGCTTCTTCCAGCCTTTGCCATCCAAACTTGACCCACAGTCAGAAAGCTTTAGGTAGTTTTGAAAGTAAAATGATTCATCAGAGTGGGTTTCAGGTGGTGCTCCAGAGAATGAATTTGGTTGGGATTGCTGGCAGCACACTCAGGGAATGGGTTATCCCTGAACACTCTGTATTTGCCTCCTGCTAGTGGAAATTCATGAAGTAAAAAAGCCAGGATTGTGTTGGGGTAACTCCACGTTTCTCCCTTTACCTTTTTTTGTTTAAATGCCGATTTGTTTCGCAGAATAAATCTGATGAGAGCAGGAGAACAGTTCCACACCACTGAAATGTGGGGGTGTAGAACTTCCCCCCTAGTGCCAGTCAGTCACTTTGAGCCTCCCCTGGCCTCCCCTCCCCAGCTGTGGCTGTCACCCTCTCCGTGTCCCCGCAGTGCATCCGGACGTGGCTCAAGCAGCATTCCAGCACCTGCCCCATGTGCCGTGTCCACGCCCTGCTGCCCGAGGACTTCCCTGAGCTTCCTGCCTGGAACAAGTCCAGCTGAGCCTGCCTCACTCCTGTTTTACTCCCCCACTCAGAATTCAAGATGTAAAGGGGCTGCAGCACAAGCCCAGGCCTGGGGGACAGAACCCTGGGGTCATTGGCCATGGGATTTCACTCCAGGATTTCTCCTGGTTCCTGCCCGAAGCTGTGCAGTTCAGGGCTGGCAGCACACCACACTGGTGGATTTTTGGCTAAGGGACACTGAAATGAGCAAATTCTTTTAGCTGAAAGGCCAGTGCATAATTCCTGTGAAGAGGGGGCTTTCCCCTCAGATTTATTCCAATATCAAACAAGTAGGTGACCCAAAGGATGGACCAACAGAACTGGAAATCAAGACATGCCCTTCCTCTGGCATTGATAATCCAGGATTCCAGCCTGGTGTGGTCTTTGCAGCTCCTCTCTCTGCAAAAAAACCACAGCTGAGAATTCAAATTGTTTAAATAATGACTTTCAGTAACATTTTGATGCAAGAATTTTAAGTTACTAATATGGATCAGTTCTTTAATCTCAACAGAAGGTTGAAATTTTAATTTCTCCCCTTGTTGAAGAGTTGTTCTGTTTAACTGGGAAGGATTTTTTTAAAAAGATTTTTAAGTGACACTTCTTCTCTATTTTGTGCAGAAATGGTCACCAGTAGCAGGAGGGGCAGAATTCCAACAGCTCAGGGAATTTTCTCCCACTGTTTCCTGAGTCTGAAGTGGCCAGAGCACCTTCAACACAGACAAATTTTCCCCAAACAGCCAAAAGGTGAGGACCAGAGCCTGAGAATCTTAAAATTAAACTCATATTTTCTGTTGTGTGAATCCAGGGAGCATCACATGGCTTAGGAGCTCTTGGCTAATTCCAGGGATCACTTCTTCCCCACACTGCTCCATCTCCTCCAGCTGAAGTTTTAAACTTCTCTCTCATTAATTACTGTATTAATTACCACTTCAATAAAAAAATAAAATTACTGCTGCAGTCAAACATGTTGTTTTGTGTAGTATTTCTGCTCACTCTGAGTTAGGGGTGAGTAACCACTCTCTGCTGTAGGATTAAGGCCTAAAAAATCCAGCACTGGAATCCTTTTCAGCTTCCAGTAGTTTGGGGGGCTGCAGCTCTTTCCCAAATCCCCCTGCTCTCAAGGAAAAGTGCTAAGTTTCAGTAAATACCATTTTCCTCTCCCCTCCCAGACACTGAAAGGAAAAATTCAGCTTTTTCTTCCTAAAACACCAGGACCCAAACTGGAATTGCATTCTCCTGCTTGCCAATGCTGCTGGACAAACCAAAGGAAATTAATTTTCTTAATTCTGCTTTTTCAGAGGCTCATCTTTACACTTCCAATTTCTATAATATAGACTGAGCCTGCCCTTACCCCACATGGAAAATTAATGGAAAATCCACAAGTTGTGGCAGTTCCATGAAAACAACATCAAAATCCACAACCTGTTTGTGTTGGGAAGGTTGTTTCTTACTGAATTACTTTTCCTTTAAGCTGTAGAGTCACAAACACATTCATTTATTCCTCCAACACCAACTCCTGTTCCCAGTTTGACTAAAATGTCCTTGGAGTGAGTTGAAATAATTCATTTCCCATCCACCTTGGGCCAGATCCCACAGCACCACCTTGCAAAGTTGTAGCACCATTTTTAAGACCTTCAAAGACCTTATTTCTCATTCTCACACCCTCCCAGTATGGCCATAATGGGATTTGTGAGTTTTAAGGGGTCTTCAAAGGACTTTGGAATGAGTATTACAAAATTAAATCAAGAGAGGAACTTGCTCCATACTTCTACAAGCTGTAGAAAGCTACAGAATGATTCCTTCAGGATCTGCCTGAGAAAAATTGGGAAAAACATGGTTCTTGAAGGCAGCAGGATTGGGAAATGCAGAGGCCAAGTCTTGGCCAGGCTAACAGGGAAGTGGAAGCACAAGAAGTGCCCACAGGAAGAAGGAAGTGAGGTGGCTCCAGCTGCAGTCAAGCATGGATAAAGTTCCACTTTCCCTCTGAGGAATTCCCAGAAAATCCTTCTCTGCTTCTCCTGTGGATGTTCACATCCTGCAGAGCTTCAGGGGGAAGTTCTCTGTGATGAGATGGTCGTCGTGCAGGAGGACCACGATGTTCACTTCAAACTCTGGGAGAAGGGAAAAAGAGAGAATTCCATGGGAAGCTGAATCCTGGCAGCAATCCTGCTTCAATTCCACAGGAAGCTGGATCCTAGCAGCAATCCTGCTTCAATTCCACAGGAAAGCTGAATCCTAGGAACAATCCTGCTTCAATTCCACAGGAAAGCTGAATCCTAGCAGCAGGATGAGGCAGGAGCTCCTGAAACATTCCATCAGAACCTCAGGATCTGCCTGAGAAAAATTGGGAAAAACATGGTTCTTGAAGGCAGCAGGATTGGGAAATGCAGAGGCCAAGTCTTGGCCAGGCTAACAGGGAAGTGGAAGCACAAGAAGTGCCCACAGGAAGAAGGAAGTGAGGTGGCTCCAGCTGCAGTCAAGCATGGATAAAGTTCCACTTTCCCTCTGAGGAATTCCCAGAAAATCCTTCTCTGCTTCTCCTGTGGATGTTCACATCCTGCAGAGCTTCAGGGGGAAGTTCTCTGTGATGAGATGGTCGTCGTGCAGGAGGACCACGATGTTCACTTCAAACTCTGGGAGAAGGGAAAAAGAGAGAGAATTCCATGGGAAGCTGAATCCTAGCAGCAATCCTGCTTCAATTCCACAGGAAAGCTGAATCCTAGGAACAATCCTGCTTCAATTCCACAGGAAAGCTGAATCCTAGCAGCAGGATGAGGCAGGAGCTCCTGAAACATTCCATCAGAACCTCATCCAGGCATCCCAGCCCTTGGACCATTCCTAGAAAATCCTGCTTTGTTGTAATCTTATGGGATTCCTCTGGGTTGTTTTCTCTCTGATAAATCATGGCAAACAATCCTCTGGAAAAGAGGATTCAGATACCAAAGAACAAAATGTTTTGGGAAAGACACCTCCACCAAGATGGTGTTTAAAGCATGGAATGGGAGAATTCCAGGACAGAGCCACTGCCTGTTTCCAGCATGTAACAGCCGTGGGAAATGAAATACTGGAAGACAACAGGCCTGCAAACTGGGGAGCAAAAATTCCAGAGGAAGATCTGCTCTTAGAGACTACACTGTGTCCTTCAAAGCCAAAATCAGTGTCAGATGCAATAATCAATTCTAAATAGAACAAAAAGCCAGGCAGAATTAATAACTGAAGGGAAGCAGAAATCAAAATAAATTCAAATTCTCATTGTAAATTGCTAGTGAAGAGCTTAAAATGGCAAAAAAATATTTTGGGGAAAACCACTGCACCCAGATTCTGTGCCAACAGATTCCAGCAGGATGAAGGGAAGAAATACAAACCAGCCAAGTGGATTCTTGCAGTACTTATTTGAACAAGTGAGGAAAACTCTGATTTTGTTAATAAAAATACTTGATTTTACAACAATCAGCAGGAAGGAGCATGTGGTGTAGGTAAGAGAATCACACCCTGACCAACCTTGCTGCTTGCAGGGCTTTCAGCAGCAGAGTGGGAAACAAAAAGGAGAAGAAATGGAAAGGGGGGTTCTCACTGGTGAGGAAAAGAGGGGATTTTACTCCTGCACTACTCCTCAGGTGTTTAATCACATGACCTGTATTCCACTGCTCCTCCTGGAGGAGGAATGTTGTCCCTCCTCATGGAATTTTGTTAGGAGTAGCTTAGTGGCTGCACAGCACTTTGTGTTGGAAGTGTCTGGGCTGAGTTTTCTCACTCTGAACTGCAGCAGGACTCAGGCTCAGGGAAGCACAGGGATGTCCTGGGCTCCTCCTGCAGCTCTGCTGCATTCATCCCCTCACCTGCCCACGGAAAGGGAATGAACGTGGCCACTCCTCTGCCAGGAAATGCCTCCCCACTCACACACTTTGAAGTTGGTTGTTTCCAGGGTGGGGCAGGTGAAGAGCCTGGGGAACACCATGTGGATGGGGATGGGGAGGCCCCTGCAGACGTCGCCGTCGGTGATCTGGATGTTCTGGATCTCTGTGGCATCCCTGGCATAGCCCTCAGCACACCCTGGGCAAGGAGAGAGGAGGGAAAAGGGAGGAGATGAGAGAAAGCAGCAGCCAAAATTCACAATGGAGATATGCTGGAGTCCTGGCTGCTGAGAATTCCAGACTTTCTGTGCTGCCAGGCACTGACCCCCAGGAGAACACTGCACTGACCTGAGGCCCTGGAGAAGCTTCCAAAATGGAATGGAAGAACTGGGATTGTGGGTGTGCAGTTTGGATAGAAGTGTGTGATATCACAGGCTGGGAAACTCAGAGTTTAAGGGTTAGAATACAGGAATAGATAGAAAGCAGGATGGAGGGTTTAGGGTGGAGGCTGCTCCTTCTTCTTCACCTTCTTCTCCATGGGCTTGGGTGGTAATTGGACAGAAAGGTTTGCATTGCAGACTTCAAGTGATAAGTAAAAATAATTTAAGTGTCATTTCTTAATTAGACAGTTTAGCCTAAGGAGGCCTTGTACAGAAAGATAGTTAGCCATTTTGTACCTTGTTAGTAGAATACTGCAGAACTCAGGGCTTTTATGTCTGTGATACAGATAAGAAATAATAAACACCTGAGTCTGAACACAAAACATTGTCTTGAGAGCTTCAATCTTGATCTTGACACAGGCAGAAAAAAGAAGCCAAGAACCAGCAGAGATCCACCAGGATTAGGGGGAAAAGGCCCTGCAAGTTTTCACAGAGTAAAGGATCATGGAGATAATTTAAATTTTACTGGGGCTGTTCCTCAAAGTGCAAACCCTGCAAGGCCTCCGAGCTCTGGCCTTTCTTTCATGCTGGTCCCTGTTTCCCTGGGAAGGTGTCCCAGATTGCAAGGCAAGATGTATTCTATGTGCCATCTGTCAGAGCTGGGCAGTTCTCTGCTGTTCATGGGGCAGTTTTTTTCTCATCTCTCACACAGCCAATCCTCCCTCCAGCAGATCTCTGCTGTCCATGGCCACTGAGTGTCCCTGCAGGGCTGATCCAATTCCAGCATCCCATGGGGAGATGCTCCGCCCAGGGCAGGAGCCAAGCATTCCTACCTGGATACAATCTGAGATCTTGGACACCAAGAACAGCCTTTCCACTGGATTGCCAGAGGAACAGCAGCTGCCTCTTCCACTGGATCTTCAGAGGAAGACTACACCCTTTCTCCTGGATCCCTGCTCCAGCAGAAGCACAGCTGCCACTCCAGGAGAACTGCAGCCACAATTCCAATTGGATTGCTACCAGCACCCTGACCCACAGGGTGTCAGGTCATGTTCTGACTCTGTCAGTGTTGTTTTGGTTTACTGCATTGTTCATTTTATTTTCATTTTTTCCCTAATAAAGAACTGTTATTCCTGCTCCCATATCTTTGCCTGAGAGCCCCTTAATTTCAAATTTGTAACAATTCGGAGGGAGGGGGTTTCCATTTTCCATTTCAGGGGAGGCTCCTGCCTTCCTCAGCAGACACCTGGCTTTCCCAACCAATTCAGAAGGGATGCAGGGGGTTCCTGCAGCCTGGGTGCTGCCCAGGGGCTCACCACAGGTCTCCACACGCACGAGCTGCAGCTCGATGCTCTTGACGGCCGCCTCGGCGCTCTCCACCACCAGCTCCCCCGTCAGCGGCTGCGTGATCACACAGTTGGTGGAGTTCAGGTGCCCTCTGATCAGGAATTTGGGGAGGGAGGCTCTCTGAAAAGGTTGGAAGGAGGAGAAAAAGATGCCAATGTAAAGAGCAGACCAATGAGAAAAGAAAAAACTCTTAAAACAAGTAGGAAATTAGCCAGGAGTTCCAAAGTTGAGAATTCAGGAGTACAGAAATTTCTCATATAGCTTAAATTTATTTCTCTCACTCTGTATCAGCATTTCTCCTACAATATTCTCTCTTGACATGTGTCCTTCCTGCTCCTCCATCCACCCATGGATGGGCCTTTCCTGGGAAGAACTGACAGAACTTGGCTGTTAGAATTCATCCAGGAGCTGGAACTGTGTGGTACAGGAGGTGGGGACACCTTCCACTGTGCCAGGCTGCTCCAGCCCCAGTGTCCAACCTTGGGCACTGCCAGGGATCCAGGGGCAGCCACAGCTCTCTGGGAATTCCATCCCAGCCCACCCTGCCAGGGAACAATTCCTCATTCCCAATATCCCACCTAAGCCTGCCCTCCTTGAGGCTTCCCAAAGCCACAGAGGGCTGTAAAAAGAGGCATAAGCAAGGCTCCAAACACACATTTTTAAAGGCTCTTGGCTGTCCATGTATAGAATGTTTTCCCTTGCTTCACTGCCATTTTTCACTCAGGAAAGGAATAAAAATATTTAACTGCTCCTGAGCAAAATTCCACCTTCAACTGGTCACCACAGTGCAAGAGATGAGGCATAGAAGTGAAAAAGAAAATGGAAAAACAAAACAAGATAATCTGCCTGATAATTTAAAAGCCAGAATTTAGTCACTCCTCTGGTCTCACTCAGAAACACACAAACTTTACATTTAAAATAAAATAAGAAGAAAATCCTTTTACCTCTTTAACATTTTGCAGAGTTTCAGGAGTAATGGTGAAGTCCACAGGGCTCGGCAGCAGCTTCCCTTTCTGTGACTGCAGGGAGTGGAAGGGTTAAACTGAAATCTGATCCCCAAAACAGAGAGAGAATATTAAAAAACCACAACATCTGGCTGCCCTAAACCACCTGGAAAAGCAGGAATACCCTTCCCATCTGAAGGAAAGAAGAAAAAAAGCTCCGTTTCACATTTCTGAATGTAGAAATAAATTCATTGTACCTGTCCCTTGGAATGTTTCCTTTCATTATGAAATTTGGGGAGTGGAGATTCTAAATGAACTTGTGTCCAATCCTTCAAATCTGCTTTATAAATTCCTGCTCTCCACCAGCAAGGGGCTGATCTGGAACTCTGAGTGAGGATCTGCCCTCACTGCTCAAGAATTCAAAATAGCTGCTGCTGCCCAGCTGCAAGATGGAAGAGATTAGCAAAAGATTGGCTGCATTTTCCCAAAATGACAAATTCTGGCACAGAATAAGCTGAAGGGAAATGGTACATTGAGCACTGACAGTGAGAATTATACGTTCAGTAAAACCTCATTAATTCACCCTGACTGAGAGATTCATGATTTACTGACTGGTGAGCTCAGAAGTGCTGTAGTGGGAACAAGAAATAAACCCAGGAAAACTGCAGGATGTGTGATTTGTCACTCCTCTGACAAGTGTGGCTCACTTATAAATGTAATAATGGACCAATAAAATGTAGCATCAGAAAATATTGAAACCTTACCAACAGGAAACTTGTTGGTAACATCGAACTACATCTTTTAAAAAGTTACTTTAGAACTAAAATAACATTTCCACTACAAGTCCTGAGTAACACAAAGGATTTTGATATTTACTGTCCTGTTAGAGTTCAAAGGAATGATAGAAGCAGGGTGCTCCAGCAAGTTATAGATGGAAAAAGGGAATTTCATCAGCTCTGGCCTGGCCTCAGCTGCTCTGGACAGCACAGCCCAGTTTAACCAACCCCAAATCCAACACAGGAACTTCTGTAAGAACCAGCAAAGCATTTCCTGGGAGTCCAACCTCCTGCCACAAGGATTAGGATTGGAAAGAAGAATTAGAAATTCTAGAATTAGAAATCAGAACCAAGTTTTCCCTTGTTTCCCTTGCAGGGCTGGTCAGGCATTGGAATGAGTTGCTCAGGGAGGTGCTGGAGTCTCTGGGAGTGTTCAGGAGCCTGGATGTGGGACATGGTTTGGGGTGAGGATGGGACTGGCTCATCCTGAAGGTCTCTCCCACCACCTTTCCATGATTTGCAGCTGGATGCAGACCCAGCTGTGATAGTTTGGAGTCAGGGCTCTGGATCAGAAGAGCAGAAATCAGGGATTTTCACCCAACTCCCATTTCCAGGACTGGGGAGCCTGGAAGCTTTGGCTGAGAACTGCTGGGATAATTCAAAACAGTGTTTGGAAAAATGACATCACATTTATGTGACCACCCCATTGTCTCAGAACTCCAAGGATGAACAAGAGAATAAACTCAGGGCACTGTAAAAACAGCTGAAAATCCAACTCCTCGTTGTTCTTTAAGAGAGGGATGGGTTTTTCTAACCAGAAGCAACAGCCCTTTGGGGTGGTTTTGTTTTGGGGCAGATTTCCTTTACTCCTACATTCTGGACAAAGGTTTCAGGCACAGGATGGGATTTTGGGGTGACCTGTGCAGGGCCAGGAGTTGGGTTTGATGATTTTTGGGGTCTCTTCCAACTCAGGATATTCTGAATCTACAGTTCTGTAATCCCTCATGTCACTATCACAATTTCCATGGGTTTATTTGGTTTATTTCTTTCCCTTAAAGTGAAGTGGGGAGAAAAAAAACAATAAAACAATTAATTAATTGCAAAATGAACAGAAAGCACACTCACCAGGGAGTGGACAATGAACTCACAAGTCTTGGTCAGGTCCTTTGCCAGCAGGGAACGTCTCATGTCACAGCGCAGGGTGTACTGGGGCAAGGGGAGAAAAGGGGAAAAAAGGGGGGAAAGAAAGGATTAAAAGGTGGGGGAAGGGGGGAAGATTGGGGAGAAAAAGGAAAAATGGAATTAAAAAGGGAAAGGGGAAAAAAGGAAAAGCTTGAATTCAGACTTCCTCCTTCCCAACTTTTCACCTCCCTTCTGCCTCTGTGCAGAGAGTTGTTGCTGTTTTATCCAGTTAAGGGTGATTTTTCACCCTGTTTTGGTTGAGGGAGTATCAGTGTGATGTATTTTTGTGTTTTGTATTTTTGCTTTCAGCCCCTTTAATCTTGGTTTCATTGTGGGATTGAATTCACAGTTGTTGGGATATTTCATGGGGAACTTCAGCCACCCAGCTGAGCTCAAAGCAGCACTAAAATCAGGCAATGAGGTGAATTTGCTTCCAATTTGTTCCCCTAAAATGGGAGCCATAAACCAGTGGCTGAAAAATAGTAAGAATTTGGTTATCCCAGAAATCCTACACTTCATCTCCAACAAAGCCTCTCCGTGTCCCTACAGGACAGGGAACTTGCTGGGATGGGGTTTTTTGTTTTGTTTGATTTTTAATTCCTCCCTCAGACCAGGATTTGGGTTCCTCACTTCTGGTTCATGGCCACAACCCCCAGCAGTGTCTGATTAAAGTTTAAACTGAACCCTGAACCCACAATTAATCCCTAAATCAAGAAAGAGAGACTCAGTTAAACTGCCCAGAGGTTTAGGAAGTGTCTCTGAAACAGCACCTCAGTGTCACAATTCCCTCCTCAGGAGAGCAGGACTCTCAAAGTTTGGCTGAAATTTAAGTTATTAAATTTCAATGATATTTTATCCAAGAAAAGCTCTACAGAGGAGAGAAGGAATGACAAAATAAGACAAATATTCCTCATGAAAGTGCAGCTCAAACTGACTGATTGATCACAGCAAGTTATTTGGGATATGGAAAGCAACTCAACCAGTGCTGCACCATTTTTGACATCCCTACCACAAACAACAGCTGTTGCATGAGGGAAGAAGCCAAAACTGAGCAAATAAAAGGAAAGGATTTAAAAAACATCCAAACACGGAAAAAAACAAGTTTGTTTTTTTTCCCTTTAGTTACTTCTGATAGGCTGCTGGGGGCTGATTTGGTTTATTAGGTTTTTTTTTCATTTCAGTGGCATCAAACTTCATTGTCTAACACAGAATTTATCTTCAAGAGATGGCTGAAGAAAGACTTTCCCCCTAAAAAAAACCACCAAAAACCACCCAAACAAACCAACCACCTAAGATGAGGCAAGTTTTAACCAAAAAAGATCAAATCTCAGAACTCTGTTTCCACAAGACTGTGTCCAAGCAGGTATTCCATGCAGATCTGGGCAGGGAATGTTACTCCTCCTCACCCCAGCAAAGCAAACAATTCCTGATTTGTGTTGCTCTCAACACCACATGAAATTACACTTTTATCTGGAATACAACCACACTGTGGTGCTGGTTTTTTTTTCAGGAAGGGAATGGAAACAGTTTCCTGCCACATCAGGATGGATCAAATTTAGGTTACAGATGTTCTGCTGAAATATTTCAGGTAAAACATCTTGTTTGTGCCATCACTCCTTAAAAGATTTACTGCATAAAGGGTGGAAAGCTCAGTCAGTGTGAAAACACCACCAAACTTCATCCTCAATTTCTATGGATTAAGAGCTGCATTTTTCCATAGATCAAATTTAGGTTACAGATGTTCTGCTGAAATATTTCAGGTAAAACATCTTGTTTATGCCATCACTCCTTAAAAAAATTACTGCATAGAGGGTGGAAAGCTCAGTCAGTGTGAAAAGAAAACACCACCAAACTTCATCCTCAATTTCCATGGATGAAGAGCTGCTTCAGAAGACATTGTGCAGGTGAAATTTCCTATTTCCTCACCTGGATATTGACAAAGACTCCGTGGTATGTCTCATAGAGAACTTTGTTGCCCTTCATTTGCAGTGGGAATTCAAAGGGAATTTCTGTCTTGCCACTGGGGAGCTTCCCTGGTTTCACCATTTCAATGGTGCTGTTGATAATCTGAATAGGCTGCAAGGATAAATACCAAAGAGGTTTAGCTTGAGACAGAGAACCAACAACATCTAAACTCCACCAGAATTCCCAGATTTCCAGAATCCCAGGGACCTCTTCAGGACACAAACTGCTGGGATATTTTTTTACAATATAAAGAAACATGAATATTTTGCTCAAGAAAATAATTTCTATTTTAAGAGTGCATCTCATTAATGACCAAAGATATTCAGGGAGCTCACCAGGAGCAGCTCCAGCTTTGGGAAGTGGAGCTTCATTTCCTAAATTATGACCCTTAAGAGCAGCAGGAATGAGCAAGGCCACTGAGCCATCCCCCTGACCCCTGAAGTTTATTCTTCTTTAGGGGAAGTCTCTCACTCCAATGAGGGGTAACTGTGGGGAGCTGGCTTGGACATGACATTTCTTCTCTCTCTGCAGTTTTGCCATTCTTGTCCCCAACTCCTGGGCTTCCAATACAAGAAGGAAGTGGAGCTGTGAGTCCAGAGGAGGCCACTGAACTGATGCCAGGGCTGGAGCCAGGCTGGGAGAGCTGGGGGTGCTCACCTGGAGAAGGGGAAACTCCAGGGAGAGCTCAGAGCCCCTGCCAGGCCCAAAGGGGCTCCAGGAGAGCTGGACAGGGACTGGGGACAAGGCCTGGAGGGACAGCACCCAGGGAATGGCTTTATATTGCCAGAGGGCAGGGCTGGATGGGATCTTGGCAATGAGGAATTGTTCCCTGGCAGGGTGGGCAGGGCTGGGATGGAATTGCCAGAGCAGCTGTGGCTGCCCCTGGATCCCTGGCAGTGCCCAAGGCCAGGTTGGACACTGGGGCTGGAGCAGCCTGGCACAGTGGAAGGTGTCCCTGCCATGGCAGGGGTGGCACTGGGTGGGCTTTGAGGTCCCTTCCACCTGGAATTTTCTGTGATTCCCTGCTTCAAGGCCAACCTCCCTTAACCAAAGCCTTTCCAAATGGAGCTGGCTCCAGGCAGAGCCAGCCCTGCTCCCTCCAGCCCAGAGCCCTTCCAGGGGCTCCACAGTCCCATTCTCTGCAGAGCAATCTGGCAAGTCTTGTCTCATGCCCAGGAACCCCTCCGTGGCCTCCACAGACAGTGACTGATCTGGCACAGAAGTCCAGTTAAACCCAGTCACTTCAACAAAAATTAAATAGCATCACATAATAATTCTTTTTCTTTAAACCACAGATTCAGTGCATCATCCAGTAATGTGGGGGTTTTAATTTAAAAATTAAATAGCATCACACAATAATTCTTTTTCTTTAAACCACAGATTCAGTGCATCATCCAGTAATTTTTTAAACTATTTATGGCAGTGCATTTCAGCCTGAAAGAAAATTCTCCCATCAGTGCAAGCTACTTCCCTACAATGCCCTCATATATCCCTCCCTGGGGATATTCCAGAGTTTTCTGGACACAGCCCTGTGCTCTGGGATGGCCCTGCTGGAGCAGGGAGGTGGCACCAGTGACCCCCTGTGCTCCCTTCCAGCCTGACCCATCCTGGCACTCTGTGATCTCCAGATAAAGCTGAGCATTTCCCTGCTTCCCACCCCTTCCACACCACGAGCAGCTCCGACCACCCGAGAGCCTTGAAGGAAAGGTTTCATTTGAGAAAATAAAGTTTTTTGTGCTAAAAGCACTCAGCTGGGCAGGCCTTACCTTGGCAGTGTTGCAGAAGGCCTCAAACACACCCACGTTTTTGGCACTGAGCTGCAGATTCACTGAGCCCTCCATGGTTAAGAAGATCCCCTGGTGCTGCACCGTGTCCTTACTGGTTATGACCACCACTCCAGAAAGAATTTCCTGAACAGAAAGAGGAAAACATTTGTTTAAATCCATTTTTTTTTTTCATAGCTGTTATCTAAACAGCCTGGAACTGATCTCCAAACTCCAAAAAAATCCTGCTCCCAAAGAATGGTGGAACCTTGTCAGGACAGACAAACACTGATGAAGGCATTTAGGATGAGACAGAGAAACAAAAACATTTCAACTCTACCAGAATTCCCGAATTTCCAGAATCCCAGGGCTCAGGATCAGAATCCCAAGTTGAAGATAAGAGCTCTGCACTTTTGGTTTTTCCTCAGAAATATCATCCTCCTCTTGGCTGAAGTATTAACCTGAGCTTCAACTTCTTCCCACAACTACAAGATTTTTCTGTCCAGGAAGATGAAAAACCTTTCTTTTGGGTCAGCTGGTAACAGCCAAGTTCTGTCTGTGCTGGAATAAACTGCTGTATGAAAACTGGGATGGTCAGCCACAGGAGAGGGAAGAAAAGGCACAACTGGAAAAGGGCTGGCCAAGCTGAAGGTGACATTCACCTTGAGAGTGGAGCAGAAGAGATTTAAAACACAAAAAATGAACACAAAGAAACAGTTTTGAAGTGAATCTGGATGAAAGGCAGGAGTTGTGTGACTCCAGGGATGTTGTCACTCATCCCATGAAGGACGTGCTGTCCACAAAATATCCTTTGCACAAAAATGCTGCATCCTCAGAGTGTCAGCTCAGACTTTGTAACACCCCAAACCTGGTGAACTGCAGGAGAGCAGCACAAACTCCCTTCCCACACTCCATGGTGTATCCTCCCCTTCTCCCACACTGCAGAATCTGCTTCAGTCCTGAAATATTCCCAGCTGGAAAGGGCAGCAGGTCACTGAGAACTGCAGAGTTTCCTGGGGATAAACTCCTCCCCTGCTCCTTGCCCAGGCAAACTGGCCCCAAGGAACAGCTCCCCCCAACCACGGGACAATCCCAATGCTCACTCTGCACCCGACCTCCTCAAACAAGGATCTCTCCTTGAGAATTGGAATTTTGGCAGATTTTTGTCTTTCCTGGTGGTGCAGGATGGCAAAAATGGGTCAGGGGAGGTTGAGGTAGCAGGAAAACATCCACATCCAAGCAAGGGTGACATCCTGAGAGCCTGGGAAGAGGAAGTGCAGCAAGTGGGAAATGCCGGAACAGGAGCACAAAGGGACAGCAAAGAAAAGCTGACCTAAATTCTGCACTGCTCTGCTAAGGGGCCTTAATTAGCACAGGCAATTAGGTTATTGCTTTAAAAAATGAGTCCAGCTCAACTCTGAGAAGCAAGGACAACCCTGAACATGTGAACTGCTTTAACAAAGGAGATGTTTCCTGTCACACAGCAAGAACCCATTCCAGAGCTGTGCCTGCCCATGGGAAGGGGGCAGGGCCTGGGAGCAGGAAAGGCAAGGATGACTGGAAGTTAAAGATCAATTTTTCTTTCAACATTTCTTCAGAAATGCAAAACACAGCTCAAAATTCTGCCCCTGTGCTCAGGTGAGAGCCCACCTGCAGCTCCAGGGTCCCAGCCCAGGAGGAGCTGGAGCTGCTGCAGAGAGCCCAGAGGAGGCTAGCCTAATTTGAGGTTTGCATTTCCTTTCTCTTCCTTGGAGATTCCTGCTAAAAATCCATGTTGTATTCCTGGTGTAGAGCTCCTCCATTGTTATGTTGTCAAAGATTCCAGGCCCAGTTAATGAACTAAAATTAAACCTTTCCACATGGAGTCAAAGTGGAAGGTAAAAACAAAACTGACAGACTGATTGACCAGAAATATCCTAATTTCAGCTTAAAACACAGGGAATATTCTTTTCCATACCAATAAAAAAAATCATTTACAAGTGATATAAAGCAAGCCAAGTTCAGTCAAATTGAAAATGGACACAGCACTGAGAAACTGAAATAGATGAATAAACAAAATCCTAATAATTTATAATTTTATAATGCACAAAGTGATGTGAAAGTGAGACACAGACAGTGTTTGGAGCCATTCCTAAAGGGAATAATTCAGCTTTGCCAAAGCCATTCTCTAGATAATCTGACAATTGTAGGACAGATGCTGCACACCCTTCCTCTCAAATCCAGTTTTCCAGGATTAAAATCATTCAATGAATGGAATTCTGGTGGATAGAAAGGATTTTTATGATAGAAATGCAAGAAAAAAAGAGAGGCCTGAACATTGCTGCTGAGCAATTCAGGATTTCTAGGTAAAGAGTAATAAAAATTAAAGAGATTCCTTCCCTTTGGAGCCACATCAGCCTGTGCAGAGCTGGGTGCGGGTACCCGGGAGTGGGGAGGGACAGAAAGCACCGCTCCATGCCAAAGGAAACGCCCAAAATCCCGGAGCTGAGCAGGGGAACACTCCGGGAAACGGGAGCGGGGAGAGCTCCAGGGAAGGGCAGAGGCAAAGGGACACACGGGGAAAGCGCCGGGACACACGGACAGGGACACACGGACAGGGACACACGGACAGACGCCGGCAGCACCGACAGGAGGGGGCGAGCGACTCCATCCCCGCTGCCAGGGCCGGCCCCGAGCCCAGCGGGACCCGCAGTGCCCCCGACAGGCTCAGGGAATCCCGGGAGGCTGGGAAGGGACCAATGGAGATGGGCTGGGAGCTCTGCCCAGGCGGGGTCAGCTCGAGCAGGGGACACAGGAACGCTCCAGGTGGCTCCGGAATGTCCCCAGGGAGGAGCCCCCAGAGCCCCTCTGGGCTCTGAACCCGGCCCGGAGCCTGTGGGAGACATTCGGGAGGGCAGCGCCTCGCACGGGACGCAGCCCTGGGGAATTCCGCCGGGAAAAGCCGGAGCACGGCACCCACCAGTGTGGGAATGGCCGAGGGCAGCGCTGCCATGTCCTCCCGCTGTGCCCTCAGACGGAATTCCCGCGATTTCAGCGAACCGGGACTTGCAAGTCCTGAGGGAATCTCTCGAGTCGAGTTCTGAATGTTGTTGCTTTCCCAAGTCGTTGTTTTCACTTCATTCTCCACAGATTATTCACTAAATTAAATTGTATTCACGTTTACATCGTTAAATAAACACAACCTGGTCAGTTCCTGGAGGATGGCTCTGTCCTCTCCTCCTCACCCAAACCCATCCACGTCCCTTCCCCTGCCGTGCTTATGGAAAACTTGGCAAAACCCACTGCATGCTCCTGTTCTGGGGCAAAAAAATAGATATTAAAGTTGTCCCACGTTTCAGGGAGGAGAGGGAAAGTGGGCATTGTAGAAAGAAAGGAGTGTTTAACTGGGATCACTAAATATTATTGGCAGGACTCAGGCAGCTGAGTAGCTGAGGTAGGTAATTACTGTCATTAATTAGTGTGGGGCAGATAAAGAGGCATTGTTTTGTTTTGTTTTTTATCCCATCCAAGGAGAGTTCAAAAGAGGAAAATAAAGGCCTGGACAGCACAGCTGCTTCTGAGTGTGAAGGTTTGTTTTGCCATCACTTTCACAATCAGCTGTTTTTCTTGGGAAACTTTTTCCAAGGTACTTCAGTTACTCATTTCTAGGAACTGGAGCCTGGTGTCCAGGAAAAGCTCCTGTTGGAGCTGCCCCCGTGCCTGTTTAATTAGTGTGGGCCAGATAAAGAGGCTTTTTTTTTTGTTTTGTTTTTTACATCATCCAAGGAGAGGTCAAAAGAGGAAAACAAAAGCCTGGACAGCACAGCTGCTTCTGGGTGTGAAGGTTTGTTTTGCCATCACTTTCACAATCAGCTGTTTTTCTTGGGAAACTTTTTCCAAGGTACTTCAGTTACTCATTTCTAGGAACTGGAGCCTGGTGTCCAGGAAAAGCTCCTGTTGGAGCTGCCCCCGTGCCTGGCAACAGAGATCCCACAAACAAACCAGGAGCACAAGGAGCCGTGTCCCACTCCTGCTGTGCAGAGAGCTCAGTGGCTCCTGTGCAGGAACAATCCCGGAGTGTTTGGGTTGGAAGGGACATAAATCCCACCCAGTGCCAGCCCTGCCATGGCAGGGACACCTTCCACTGTGCCAGGCTGCTCCAGCCCCAGTGTCCAGCCTGGCCTTGGGCACTGCCAGGGATAAATTATTGTTTTAAAAAAAAAACCACAAAACCAACCAACAAAAAAACACACCAAAGAAACTATCAAAAAATTAAAAACCCAACCAACAACAACGACAAAAAAGAACCAAAACCCCAAAAAGCAAAAGAACAAAAGCAGAAACAAACAAAAACCAAAAAAAATAAAAACCAAAAAAACACAAAAGCAAAATAAAAACCCACATACCTAACAAAAACCTTAAACCCAGAAAGCAGGAGGAATAAAACAACTCTTTCAGGAAGAGAAATATCCCCATGTGGGAGAGGTCATCACTGTCAGCCCAGATGTAGGGACAGGTGAATTCCCTTCCCACCTCCAGGCTGTGGGCACCAATATTCCACTGAGAAGCCCCTTGAGGTTTGATTTTCTGAAGGAATTCCCATCCCCAAATGAAGCCAAAATTGTCAGTCTCAAATTGCCCAAATTTGGGGTGGATTTTCTAAGTGGACAAATGCAGCAGGCTCCTGACAATGAGAGGGCTCTGTGCCAAAAATTCCAGCTTTTGCTCTGATGCTCAGACTGTTTCACTGATTTTGCTGAAATCTTCCGAAATAATTCAGTGGGAGGTGGATACCCTGTCAATTTATCATTTGGATCAACCAAAATATATCCTGTTACTGGGAAGGAAACTTTTGTAAGGTCAGGGGGAATGGTTTTATATTGCCAGAGGGCAGGGCTGGGTGGGATCTTGGGAATGAGGAATTGTTCCCTGGCAGGGTGGGCAGGGCTGGGATGGAATTGCCAGAGCAGCTGGGGCTGCCCCTGGATCCCTGGCAGTGCCCAAGGCCAGGCTGGACACTGGGGCTGGAGCAGCCTGGCACAGTGGAAGGTGTCCCTGCCATGGCAGGGCTGGCACTGGGTGGGATTTATGTCCCTTCCAACCCAAACCACCCTGGAATTCTGTGACTGAGGAGCTCTGAATTAATTTAGAAATGGTTGGCAGCTCTGTAATTGTCACTGCTGTTGGGTCATGCATTGCTGTGTTCAATGCAAGAACAGGGTTAAATAAATATATTCTGGTTATTCCTGGGGTTATCACACAGAACCAACCAGGAGGGTACAGGTTTTGCTCAAATCCATTTTGGATGTAACTCCACTCGTGGAGTCAACCAGAGCCAAACTTGTCTTGGTTCTTCATTTGTTGTTTTAGGGTTTGGTGAGCCAGAACTGAATGGAAGAACTCACTAACAAATGAACCTGAACTGAAAGCCAAAGGAAAATCTGTATGAACTTGGAATAATCCATAAATTTGTTTTTGTTCCTGGTTATCACAGAACCCTCATGGAATGGTTTGGGTTGGAAGGGACTTTAAAGACCATCCAGTTCCAAACCCCTTCCACTTTTCTACCTGAATATTTCTGGGACATCATTTAACAAATAGATTTAAATTATTTTGAATAATTCCATTTCTATATTTGCCTCAACCCAGAGCTGAAATGAATGGATTAATTGGTTTGGAATGACTGCATTCCTAATTCAGGATAACCATAGGGAAGCTGGGGTTACCCAAACTTTTTTTGGGTACCCAGAACCTGTTTTTCTGTTTTTTGGAGGTTTTTTATTAGTTTTGAAATCTTTGCTCAGAGGACAGTGGTGTAGAATCACAGAATGGTTTGGACTGGAAGGGATTTAACTCCAGGAATTCAGTGGGAGAAATTCTACAATTTATACAAAGTCATGACAAAAACTACACTTTTAAGGAGCTCATAGATGATCAAATCTAATAAAAAAATAATTTCAAATCTTGTTGATGTGTTGGATACTTTTGAGATCTTTCCATGGTTTCTGTTAGCACATTTGACAAATTGTTTTCCAGAGTACCTGTGTGGAAAAGCTGCTCTTTAACACCAAGGAGGGTGGAGGAGAAAAGTGATGCCCTGAAGAACAGGAAATAAATTGAAATCCCTTCTTTTTGGTGGAGAAATCAGCAAATCCCAGCTCTGCACCACACAAGTGGTGGTGTTCCTGAAAGAAGAAAGGTAATAAAAAAGAAATTAAAATCTCTGCACCACGTAGAGGGACTGTACACACATTAAATCTCACCAGTATTTTCTAAAATGTTTCCCCACTGCACAGAAATTTCCTTTTCTTTAAAAATGTTTGAAAGTATCTCAGACTTCAAAGAACTAATAAGAAAATACTGAAGAAGGCAGCAAAATAAACTTAATTATTCACATAGCAAGGTGAGAAAAGCTGATTGAGATAAAACAAAGCTGGGGGAACATCCAGGGAAAAAAAAGTCTAAAGAAACTGTTTAAATTGAGAGATACAATAAAAGGAGAAAAACCCCATAAATTACAATAATATTGGTGAAGGGTTTTTAAAGATGTTTAAGAATGAACTTATTTTCCAGCCAAAATACACAGTTTTGAAGGGAATTCCCTCAGAGGAACTGTCATAGGGTACTTTAAAAAGGACTTGGACTGACTGAAAATTGCACTGAGCTTCACTCACCACTCAAGAGAATTAGTCCATAAGGAAAATAATGTTATAAAATGTGTAGGGGTGACAAAAACAGTGGATAACACAAAACAAGTGGCTTAGAGATTTTAAAAAAGTGTATTTGGCAGGGAAAGAAAATAATGGCTGAATATCCTGAATAAAAAGTACTCAGGAAAAAGAAAGAAAGAAAGAAAGAAAGAAAGAAAGAAAGAAAGTGTGTATTTGGCAGGGAAAGAAAATAATGACTGAATATCCTGAATAAAAAGTACTCAGGGAAAAGAAAGAAAGGAGAAGAAGAGAAAAGAGAAAGAAAGAAAGAAAGAAAGAAAGAAAGAAAGAAAGAAAGAAAGAATTAGATATTAATTAGGTAATTTTTCCAAGTAAAAAGTTGTTACAGGATGTAGAGAGATTCTGAATGATGATGGGCAAGTTGATATCTTTAAAAATGTAAAAATGTCATGGTAAAAGAAACTCTTTACAAAATAGTGAATTTTGCAGGCTTGTGTGTGAGAACTGATGGATATGGAGGGATTATTTGGGCATTTGGCAGATGGCCTATGGTAGGATACAGGTATGGAGAAAAAAACAAAAATAAATATAAATAAATGCACATTTCAACTAAAACTTGTATATTCTGCCATCAGCAATGAATTGTAGTAGATGCACTGTTAAAAAAAAGGTGTTTGTGTTTTCAAATAATATTAAAATAATCATGAAAAGTTTAATGAAAATTTAAAACTGACTGATTCTTTAGATGCTGATAGCCCTTGAAAAAGAATTTGGGATTTATGCAGATATTGAAAACATTGACAGGTGTATTAAAAATTGTAATAGTGCCAAACATTTATGTGGAAACAAAGTTTTGTAGCAACCTCAAAGGGGACTGGAATGAAAAAAGAAATTAAAATTATTATTTTTTTAATTTTTAAAATTTTTTTTTAAATATTGATTTGATACCAGGGGAAAAAAATTGCACCAGTGAGTGATCTCCACATCCACAGCTGTTTACATTTTCCTGTGACATAAATAGATTTGAAACTCCAAGTGTTAGATTACAATCCATGGCTCAGTTTTTTCTCCTGGTTGGAGAAAAAGAAATTAAATTTTTTTTTTTAATTTTTAAATTTTCTTTTTTTAATGTTGATTTGATACCAGGGGAAAAAAATTGCACCAGTGAGTGATCTCCACATCCACAGCTGTTTACATTTTCCTGTGACATAAATAGATTTGAAACTCCAAGTGTTAGATTACAATCCATGGCTCAGTTTTTTCTCCTGGTTGGAAGGAGTGTGTAAGGGTGCAGTGTGAAGTGTGCTAATGGCAGGATATTTCCACCCTGACTGCTCAGGTGGTTGGAGCTTCCTGAGGCAGTGAACACAGATTTTTTTAGTTTTGTTTTTGTTTTTTTGTCAAATAGGACGAAAACTGTATAACTCAGCCTCTTAAATAGATTTTTCCATTATAGATAGGACACACCAACCAAAACTGTTGATTTAAAGTTTTTAAATATATGTTTTCAATATTTTAGACTGGAGTAAGGGACAGTATGGAAATTAATTTTTTAACTTTCATAGAAAGTTAAAATAGGGCTTGGAGAAGCCTGGGACAGTGGAAGGTGTCCCTGCCACGGCAGGGGTGGCACTGGATGGGATTTAAGGTCCCTCCCAACCCAAACCAGTCCACGGCTCTGTGATTTCTGAGCTGAGCTTGAGGAGTGGCTCCCAAAGCCAAATCCTTTCTGTCAGGATCAGGAGCAGAGTGGGCAGGGCCCAAAGAGCATCAAGGTGTTAAAGGAACACACAGAGAAAGCAAAATCACAGAGAAAACAAAATTCCTGTTCTTGCCTCTGAGTTCACAGTGCAACAGTGCCACAGAACCCCAAAATAAATCCCTGAGGCTGGAAAAGCCCTCCCAGCCCATGGAGTCCCAGCTGTGCCTGGTCCCCACCTTGTCCCCAGCCCAGAGCACTCAGTGCCACCTCCAGGGGACACCTGCAGGGATGGGCACTGCAAAGCTCCCTGGGCAGCCCCTGCCAAGGCCTGAGCTCCCTTTCCATGGGCAAATTCCTGCTGCTGGCCCAGCTGAGCCTGCCCTGGCCCAGCCTGAGGCCGTTCCCTCTGCTCCTGTCCCTGTTCCCTGGAGCAGAGCCCGACCCCCCCGGCTGTCCCCTCCTGGCAGGGACTTGTGCAGAGCCACAAGGGCCCCTGAGCCTCCTTTGCTCCAGCCTCAGCCCCTTCCCAGCTCCCTCAGCCCCTGCTGGGGCTCCAGCCCCTTCCCAGCTCCGTTCCCTGCCCTGGACACGCTCCAGCCCCTCCAGGTCTCTCCTGCAGGAGCAGAACTGGGCACAGCCCTCAGTGTGAAATCCATGTTGTCCCAAATCCATGTTGTCCCAAATCCATGTTGTCCCAGATCCCTCTCATCCAAGAGCTGCAGAACTGCCTCCAGTGTGTTCCCCACCAGGCAGGTGGGACAGACAAACATGAAGATCCATGGTTAAGTGCTCCCAGGATTTCCTGGGACAATGAGCTTCCCAGACAAAGCATCACATGGAAAATAATAATAAAAAAACCTTTATGCAAGAAAAGCAAGAGAAGAATGGATCAAAAACTGGCAGGATGAGAGGAAAGAAATAAAACAGAACTCAAAGGTCAGTTTTCAGAGAAGGGGAGGCCACAGGAGGAGTCTGCAGGGAGCTGTGCTGTGCCTGGTGCTGCTTCATGCATCCCTCAGTGACCTGGAGAGGGGCTGAGCAGGGACTCACCACAGACTGCTGAAGGGATTCAGGTGTTCAGGTAAAGGAAAGGTAGAGGACAAAGTGAGGTGCAGTTAAAGGGATGGCTGGAGAACTGAAAAAAGACCTTACAAGACTGAGGGAATGGATAATAAAATGGCAGAGAAAATCTGATGCAGTAAAGTAGTGCACACAGGGGGAAATTCTGTGTACATAAGGATGGGGCTTAGTTGGTTTTCTACTCACAACTGAGATATTTGGGTTCTGATTAATACTGCCATGAAAATATCGGCACAATGTTCCCTTTTACAGAGAGAAACAAATCAAATATTTGGAATTATTAAGGGCACAAACTAAAGAACAAACCAGAGAACACTGCAGCACACCTGCCCTGGTATAAATCCATAGTTCTCTGTGCATGGAGCAGTGTGTGCAGTTCTCTTCCAGACATCTTAAAAAGGCTTCCAGGACCTGAAGGAATTGACAAAAAAGATGGAGAGAGACAATTTCCAGGGGATGTGTTTCTGTAATTCTGTAATTCTGGGATCTCAACATGCCAATTCTGAAAAATGGAATTTTGGAGAAAACTCCTCATCCCAGCATTCCCTCCCACCCTGAGCCATGGCCTTCAAGGACAGCTGAAGCTGCTGCAGAGATCCCTGGGTTTGGGGTTTAGGACACTAAAAGGAACAGCAAATGCTTGGAAAAGTTTCCCACTTTGGAAGTAACTTTTAAGGAGTTTTTCTCCTTGGAACAGATCCGTGTTGCCTGTAAAAACCTTGTGTTGTTGTCCCTTTGGCTAAGAAGGTGATGCTCAGAATCTGGAATTTGGGTAAAAATCAATACCACAGAGTTGGCATATTTATTATAATTTATTACATATCATTTTCACTGCCTTGAAAAGCAACATAAAAAAGACAACAAAAAGTTCTTTCTTGTGACAATTTAAGCAAGAAATATTTTTTAGCTGCTGTTTTCAGCCTTTGAAACTTGAAGTTGCTTATAAATTTCCCTGACCAAAATATTACCCTTCCAAAAAAAAAACCCCAAATTCTCCTTGTTCCTTCCACTTAAAACAGAAGGAAAAAAAAGCTAGGGGAGGTTTAAAGAATAAAAAAATCAGCTTGAAGCAACACCCAGGACAGGAAACTTCTTCCAAGCAGTTAAAGCTTGGCAAACCTGCAAACAATGGAAACCAAACAAACAAGGATCAGTTGAATGTTTGTCTCAGCCTGAATGTTCTGGACACACACAAAACCTCCCAAACTCTCCTCAAATCCTCAAAATAAGGTCAGGAAGTGTTCTCTTCCTGATGTTTCATGTGTGCTCTGTCCATCCCAGATACAAAGCTCCTGTGTAAGTTTGAGCATTGTTTTTTTAATGCATATAAATGGCATTAATTAGTGTTTAATTAATAGAATTCTTCAAAATGTATTAATTCAGACTTTTATGTGACAAAGATGAGACTTAGATTTGATACTCATACATTCAGAATGAACTAGAGTTTATTCAAACAGGATAAATAAAATAAATATCCAGAGCAGGTTATGTGACATTGATTTTTTTTAATATTTATACTACTACAGGTGCATTTAGCTACTTGGAATTTTCTCAATGCTTTTCATTTAGCTTTGTTTTAATTTTTAACTGGAAATCTTTATGTTTTGCCTGAAGTTTGGGTTCAGCAGTCCAGTTTCACCTCTTTGAGGTGATCCCTTTCAAAAACTGCTCTGTCAATATATCAAAATTCAGTTGAGGTTTATTGTGAAAAGACTTGCTGTTACACATAGGTTGGAAGAGGGGAAAGCAAAGGGATTGAGGGGATTTTTAAGTTTTGTTTTTCAAATCTGGGTTTTATAAACCAAGAGAGAAAGTTTCTGTGGTGGGAGCACAAGTGTTGTGTGTCCTGTGGATGTGAGCACTCAGGAGAGGATATTTTAGTGCAAAGAGATCTGAACCCATCATCTAATTCAATTTATAATCAACCTGATGGGGCCCTGCACACAAAAATATCAAATACCTGGAGTTATGGTAACTTTATTCTCCAGAAAGGAAAGAAGTGGCAGGCAACCCCTGCCTCAGAGAGTTTCCTCTGCAGCTGCTGCTCAGTGAAATCTTCTCCAGCTCCACAGATTTGCCAACTTTACCAAGGCCACTGGACAATTTCAAACCTGAAGATTTCTTGGGAAACAACTGAATGTTTATGAAATATCACTTAAACAAGCAACACACCCCATCTTCCATTGTGCTACCAGTGCCTGCCAATTGCCCTCACTTTAAATCCAGTTTTTAATATTGCTTGTATCAGGGAATCACAGATCCCAGAATGGTTTGGGATGGGACCTCAAAGCCCATCCAGTGCCACCCCTGCCATGGTAGGGACACCTCCCACTGTGCCAGGCTGCTCCAGCCCCAGTGTCCAGCCTGGCCTTGGGCACTGCCAGGGATCCAGGGGCAGCCCCAGCTGCTCTGGGCACCCTGTGCCAGGGCCTGCCCACCCTCAGGAATTGTTCCCAATATTCCACCCAATCCTACCTTCTGTCAGCTTGAAGCCATTCCCCCTTGTCCTGTCACTCCTTTACGGTCCCTTCCAACCCAAAGCAGATTCTGTGGTTCCACCCCAGATTTGTTTTGGGGTGCTGGACCCTTTGCAAAGTTTCCTGGTGTCCTGAGACCCGACAGCCAGGACTTCTCCATGGCTGTTTTCTAACTCACCCTGGCAGTTCTGCAGCTGGCAGTCCCTGACGGTGACAGTGGGAACAGGGAGCTCTGAAGCTTCTTTAGAAGGATGGGGGTGGAGAACTGTGAGGTTTTCTGGACTCCTCTCCCCCTTTACACCTGAGAGGGAACTGGGCCTGATTTACCCATGGCAGAGTGGGCTGGCTCCAGCCCCAGAGGGTTTGTGAGCCATTGTCCCTCCCACAGCAGTTTCAGGCTGGTGCCCACAGTGTTTTTCAGGTGCCCGTGGTGCTGTGCCCTCTCCAGAGTCTCACCAGCCTGGGGGAGCTGCCCTGGGAATGCTCCAGGGATCTCCCTGCCCTGGAGCACAGCCCTGCCCAGCAGTTATTTTGGGAGCTCCATCCTGGCAGGATTGGGCCCTGCAGGCCTGGCTGGTCCCTCTGGAATTCCAGCAGGGATCTCAGCAGAAGGTCAGCACCGAGCTTGCCTTGCCAGCTGCCTGGAATAGCTCACAAAGGGGAAATGCAGGCCCCAAAACCAGAACCCTACAAAACAGGAGTGCTGGCCCACAGAGCAATCACCTGCATTGGTGATGCCACAGAGCAGCTCCAGGGCCTGGCAGTGGGGACACCCAGGAGCTGGAATGCACCTCAGAGGGAGGTGAGGAACACACAGCTCCTCTGCTTGATGTCCACAGCAGAAAATACAATTTTTTTATTCTGGTTCATAATCCTGAGGGGATCAGACCTCAGCTCTTGCAATGGGTTTTTATTCCCCCAGTGCTCAGGCACCTCTGACAGACCCACCTTGGGCAGAGGTGGTGAATAAAGAGATTCAGAGAAGTTCTGGAAGCTGGTGGCTGGGGGAGGATTGATCCTGGTTAATCACTAAACCATCTCCCACTTTGGGAAAAGCTGAACTGTTATGGGAAGTTTCATCTGACCATCAGGAGGAACTTTCCTGTGCAGTGACTGAGCACTGGACTTCCCTGGGCACCGTGTGCCAGGGCCTCACCACCCTCATAGCAAAGAATTTCATTGTAATCTCTAATGTAAATTTATTCTTTTTCAGCTTGGCCATTTCTCCTTGTCCCATCACTCCATGCTCTTGTAAAAAGTCTCTCTCCATCTTTCTTTGAACTGGGATGGGATAGAGGATCTTGGAGGGAAAAAGGAACAGACAACAAAGCGTTCCTGCTTCTACTGCTGCTTCTACTGAAGAATGACTTCTTAGCCTAGTGAAGCTCCATAAGTGACAAATTTAGAAAAAATTATTTTAAATTCATCACAATTTCTTTTTCTTTGCTAGCAGGAGGTTGATCAAGTGGACACCAAGTAGAACATATTTCTAAGAACTTTCTTGAATGGATTTGTTTCAGGATATAATTTCAAGAACAAAATCCCTGTGGAAGCTGCACAAGGAGCTTCCTCCTGACAGCAAGACAGAACGTACTTCTAAGAACTTTCTTGAATGGAGTTGTTTCAGGATATAACAAACATCATGGTCTGGAATTTCAAGAACAAAATCCCTGTGGAAGCTGCACAAGGAGCTTCCTCCTGACAGCAAGAACTGAGTTTTCATTTTGGCCACCAAGGACACCAATCCTGCTGCACAAGGGAGCAGGGAATTGGTATGGAAAAGGGAAGGGGCCAGTGAAAGAGGAATGGAATTTTAATGGAATTGAGGACAGTTTTTGCCTCTTCCAGGAATTCTGACATGGAAGCAAAAGCCGTGCATTGAACAGGTGTAGATCCAATGATGTTACAGTCAGCAGAACCAAGGAGCTTTAAAGAGCCATGGATTGTGCTGGTCCTTTTGGATGTGAGGGGAACTTTATGATTAAATCAACCTTTTGTTTTGTTTTGTTTTCCATGTTTTCTAATGCAGGGAAACCAGATTCCTCTAAAAGTTGGAAATTGAGCATGTGGAGAAGCTCCCAGATGCGAAATACTTGACATTGTAGCACTTGATTTACAAAAGTTTTAAAGAATCACAATTCTTCAGAATTCCTGACTTTAACAGGAACCGTTCTGCACTCCCACAAATGTATTTGTCATGGAAAGTGGTCTTAGGAGGACTTCTGGGATACAACTTCCAAGAATGCACTTTCCCTAGGATAACTAACACAGCCTTTTTCCTGGAGACTTCATCCCCAGAAAACTCCATGGTTTTGGGGAAGGATTTTCACAGAATCACTGAGCTTGGAAAAGATCTCCAAGATCATCAAGTCCCAGCTGTGCTCGATGCCCACCTTGTCCCCAGCCCAGAGCACAGAGTGCCACCTCCAGGTGTTCCTTGGACACCTCCAGGGATGGGCACTCCAAACCTCCATGAGCAGCCTCTTCCAATACTTAACACTCATTTCCATGAGAAAGAAAAATTCCTCCTGATGTCCAGAAATTCCTGCCTGATGTTTTACATCAGAAGAGAAACTTTTCATACTCAGGAGTGCGATCTTCACCGTGAGTGTGAACACCAAGGAGCACAATTCCAGGGAGTACCAGGGAGAGCTCAGTGAGATGCACTTTCTTTTTGGGGAACAAGAATTGCTGCTCATCCAGCAGCAATTCCAGGACCTTCTGGTCCAGAGGCGTGCCAGCCTACACAATGTGCAGCTCTGCCTGTCAATCCCAAGCCGGTACTATCGAAGCCGGCTCTGATGATGACTCAAAAGCTGATCTATCTCCATCCCAATGGGTTACCATGGCAACCCCTCTGGCCTAAAAAGAGCTGGACCACATTAGTTCCTTAGCAGCACCTTTTTGACAGGCGAAACACAAGCTGCTCCCTCCAGATGATGGTTTCATGTGGAACTGAGGCTGTCTGGGAGCTGCCGCATGCTCTGGGAAGTGTTGATGATGTAACCCATGGAGAAGAACTTCTGCTGGGACTTCACTTGGGGTTGGGGCCTGTCACCCTCTTCTTCTAAGTTCTTCTAAGTTCTTCCAAGCCTTCTGATGTTTAGCTTCTTGTAATGAACTTTCTCAAGCAGTTTTGTATAAATAATTATTGTTTTACATTCTTTTCTGGAGGAGGAGAAATTTGATGGACTGTTGGTTTGTCCAGTGTCATTGGAGAGGTGGCACTCCAATCCACCTGTCACTTTTGAAAGTCTATAAATGTTAAAGTCAGAAATTAAACTTCATTTTTTTACTTTAGAAGTTCCAGTATCTGCATCGTTTTATTTCGTGTTCTATAGCAACAGGGGCCCAAGCACCAAAGGAATTGAGCTGTGTGGTGGCTTTGGTGGAGAAACACAACAGTGGAATCTTTCCTTCTGTATTTTGATGGAATTCTTCCTGAAGATCTTCTAGCTTGGATCTCGTGACCTAAGAAGGCCCCTCTTGCAGTGGGATACAGAGGATTGTTGCAATTGCTGCTGGTCCAACACAGCATGTCCATCAAAACTTGGACCCAAAACACAAAAGTTGAGCCCTGGAAAAGTCAGAGTGCCCATGGCTGCTGTGAAGGAAGCCTGGAGTTCAGGCAGAGCTGCAAACTCTCCAGGAGGAAAACTGCAGGGCTGCAAGGGCAGGTTGGATCAGGGAATGAAGCCGTGCAGAGCACACAGTGAGAGGCAAGTGGGCCCCTCTACTCCATGCAGGAAGGCTGGAAAGGGAAAAAAATGGGACATATTACCCATAATCACACTCCACTGCCATAGAATCACAGTTTGGGTCAGAAGGGACATTAAAAATCATGCAGTGCCACCTGTGCCATGGGCAGGGACACCTTCCACTGTGCCAGGCTGCTCCAATGTCCAACCTGGCCTGGGGCACTGCCAGGGATCCAGGAGCAGCCACAGCTGCTCTGGGAATTCCATCCCAGCCTTTCCCCACCCTCCCAGGGAACAAATTCTTCATATCCCTCACCTAAAATTCCCCTCTTTCAGTTTGAAGTCACTCCCCCTTGTCCTGTCACTCCAGTTCCTGATGAGTTGTCCCTTTCCAACTTCACTGCAGCCCCTTCAGACCCTGGAAGGTGCTGGGAGGTCTCCACACAACCTTCTCTTCTCCAGGATGAGCAGCCCCAGCTCTTCAGCTCTTTTGTTGTTTCTTTTACATCTGTTCCATTTCTCTAGAATGCTGTATGTTATTTGCTCTCTTAGAACTCATTTCTCCACTCTCTTTCCTCTTCATTTTTAATGTGCCTTTTTTTTTTCTCAGTTTTTCTGCTTATTATTAGTTTTTTTTGGTCCCAAGTATTCTGCTTTCTGAGGGGTGGTTTCTTTGGAAGAGAAACCCAAGTATTTCTTATGAGCCTGACCATTAATTAATGCAGAATGTACACAACCTCCTGTTTTCAAGCACTGCAAACCTGCTCCAGGTAGTTTGTGATGGAGAGTTTAAAAAAAAGGACTCTCCTGTCTTGGCAGTACCTCCCCTCCTAAAGAAAATAAAAAAGGAGGATGATTTTTTTCATTTTTGATAAGCAAGAACTTGGATTCTCTCCATCCAGGTCACAACTTGTGTGCAAAGTTTCCAGGTGAGGCAGGATTGTGGTGGAATCCCAGCCTGGAGGATCCCTAACCCAAGCCCCAAACCTCCAGCAGAGAACACAAGTTCAGTTCCTGACAACCCTTTCCAAGAAGAAATTCCTCCTGATCCTAACCTGAACCTCCCCTGGATTTTTAATGAAATGGATATTGAAGAGAACACTTTCGTACAAAAGGGAAAAACCATGCAGGTTATTCATTATCCAAATAAAATTAACAAGCCAAAAAGATCTAGTTCTTTGTGCTGGAAAATAACATTTTAAAAAGATGCCATCACCTTTTAAAGGACATTTTATTTCTGCCCAAGGTGCCAGAGCTTGGGTATAGCCAGCAAAATAAATGCAGAGGATGAGTGAGCAAATGCACTCTGTAAAACTCTGTAATATTTTTAAGTGTTAGCAAAAAAACCCTCAAAACCTGACAAAAACCCCAAACCCCAGGAAGTGACAGTAATGCAGTGAACAGAGTAACAAATTTCTGTGAGCTTTGTAGTTACCTACACTGAGCCACAGAGAAACTGTTCTGTCACTGCACTCACACAGACCAGAAGGAGATTTTGGAGGGGAAAGAATCCTCAGGGAATGTTTCTCCTGCTCCTCTCCGAGAGTGGAGCTGTTCTTCCTGACTGAGAGACTGGGCAGAGGTTGGCCTTTGAGCTCTTGGAATTGTCCATGTGGGAAGAGCCCTCCAGGATCACCCAGTGCCACCCCAGTGCCACCAGCATCACCCCAAACCCTGTCCCCAGGGCCACATCCAGACTCCTCCTGAGCACTCCCACAGACAGTGACTCCAAACCTCCCTGGGCAGCTCAGCCCAAGGCCTGACCACTCTGCCAGGGAAATTTCCTGTGCCAATCTCCAACCTGAGCCTCCCCTGGTGCCATCTGAGGCCATTTCCTCTCCTCCTTTCCCTGCTCCTCATGTCAGGAGTTGTGCAGAGCCACAAGGTCCCCTCTGAGTCTCCTTTTCTCCAGGCTCAGCCCCTTCCCAGCTCCCTCAGGTGTTCCACATCCCAGGACAAGAATCACATCCTGGACATGCTCAGAGTCAATGACAG